CTGGATACAGAATTGTAGGTTGGTGTTTTTTTTTTCCCCCCCAACACTTTAAATATTTCACTTCCCTCTCTTCTTGATTGCATGCTTTCCAAAGAAAAGTCCAATGCAATTCTTATTCTTGCCCCTCTATTAGTAAGGGTTTTCTTTCCTCTGGCTTTTTCAAGAGTTTTGCTTGTCTTTGCTTTTATACATTTTGAATATGATTATGCTTACATTTTTGGCATTTATCCTGCCTCATGTTTTACACCACTATAATTTAAAAATTCAAATAAATTTAAATAAATTAAAATAAAAAGCTCAGTTCCCCTGCTTCACTAGGCATATTTTAGGTACTCAATAGCCATGAGTGGCTAGTAGCTACTGTTAATCTTAAAAATAAAACTGTCAGTTATTTTCCTAGCAAAAATGGGTTTATTTGAGGATAGCAGAGAACTGCAATCTTGGATAAGCAAGCCACAGCAAAACCACAGGCTAGTCCAGAAAACAAAGGAGAGGAACCCTGTTTTATAGAGGAAAGGAGGAATTTAGGAGGGTGGTAATAAACAAAAAGTCCTTTGGAGTTTTGAAGTAGAGTGGATTGCCTGGGTTGTTGCCAGGGGAAGAGAAAGAACTTTCTTCCTCCTGCTGGGTAGTAAAATAGTATCTACCCTGCAAGATGTTTCTTACTGTTGGGTCTGCAATTAATGGTAAGGGCATGAGAGCTCTCTCACTCTCATTCTAAATGAGGTTTCTCTTATTAATTTTTACACTACCGATTTGGAGAGCACATATTTACATGTTGGGAGGGAAAAGTCAAATCTGAGGCATCTTGGCAGTGAATGGCCCACAAGGAAAGCATCTTCTAGGACTCCACCATCACCAGCACCTGAGACCCCTCGTGTTCCTATCCAACACCCTGTCTCTCTGCTCATGCCACACCTCCTTCCTAGAATGCCCCTCTTCCCTGCCTCAGGTTTTCTGTATTTTACTCTTTTTTCCCTGACTTAACTTAGGCCCCAACTCAAACACTTTTTTCAGAAGAAAAAATGAAATGTGTTTCACATCATTCCCTTTAAGGGACATGAATTAGGCCTATCCCATGCAGATTTCTTCACATCATCAGGGCCTTGTACTGAGTTTCACTCAGCTTTGCAGACTTGATATCACACTCAGTAATATAAAAAACATTAATGGGTCCACACATGCTAGTGTTGCCAGCATTTCATTTCATTAAGTAAGAAATTAAAAGTAAAGACAGCTATCTATTGCTGGCAATTTCATGAATAAAAGAACATTCTAATAATGTCCTCTTCCCATGTCTGTACACAAAAAGGGGGAAACTGAAGCTCTGCTTAATTTTTCTCATTTAGGCCTGGAAGATGAAAACTTACTGTCTCTAAATTTCAGCAAAATAAAGACATCTAGGAACCACTGCCCTGTGGTCTTTGTTGATTTCTTTTCCACAATTTTATTTTTATCACCTTTCCCCCTCTGCTGTGGAAGGTCATTGAAAAGATGTAACCACCAGTTGACCCATGAGCTGGACCCAGGTGATCAGAGGTTCCTCGCCTCCACCCCTGTCCTTGGAATGTGGGTCCCACTTGCCTCTTCCACTCCCAGAGGTTGCTGCAAGGATATTGCCTTGACATAATGATGTGATGGTGAGAACACCTGCACAGTACACTTGACTGGACCCAGTTAAGGCCTCTCTCTACACAAACTTTTTTTTTTTTAAGATTTTATTTATTTGAGAAACAGAGATAGCGAGAGAGAGAGAGAGCAGGAGCAGGAAGGAGAGGGAGAAGCAAGCTCCCCATTGAGCAGGGAGCCCGATGCAGGGCTTGATCCCAGGACCCCCGGGATCATGACCTGAGCCAAAAGCAGACACTCAACCAACTGAGCCACCCAGGAGCCCCACTATACAAACTTTTAAGATTCAGGTACTCAACAGCGACGGCTAGTATGTCTGTGTGGGGATCCACTCATCTTGCTGCTGCCCAAGACAAGCCTCATACGTAAGTTCCCTTTGCTTATTAAGACTTCCACTAACGGGGGCACCTGGGTGGCTCAGTAGGTTAAGCATCGGACTCTCGGTTTTAGCTCAGGTCCTGATTTTACGACTTGTGAAATGGAGACCCACGTCGCGCTCCACGCTCAGTGGGAATCTGCTTGGATATTCTCTCCCTCTACCCCTTCTCCTCTCGCATGTAGGCTTGCGCACTCTCTCTCTCTGTAAAATAAATAAATCCTAAAAACAAACAAAAAAACTGCCACCTACCAACCTGGAGTGACCAGCCTCTACCTTTGGCCTCTCCCTGCCCTCCACACATACTCTCTTACGTCTCTTACTAGTTGTGTGATCTTGTGTAGGTTGTTTAGCCTCTCTGGTCTTCGTTTCCTCTGTTGTGAAGTTGCTCTAAGGATACACATGCCTAGGACATTGACATAATAGCGCTAGGTTGGCACTCCCTTGCAGAGGTTGGTCTAAGGCTTGGGCTAAGTTTGGGACAAAGAGACAGAAGTGAATCGGTACAGGACTATAATAAAAGCAACAAGCCTCCTGGCCTCCTACTTTCTGTCTGAGCATGGCATCTGCTGTCTTTGTTTCATTCCACAGGGCTTTACGTTCCTCCAAAATGAGAGCCTCTGGGGAAGGACCAGGAATATTCAAATCTGCCATGATGGACAAAACGAATGAAGTCTGTCTTAATGGGTACTGATATGTAGCAAGGAACCTTCAAGTTTGAGGAGGAACTAGAGAAACCTAGAGGGGCCCTGAGAACCTCCGACATGCTACATAGCTATTCCTTAGGGTTTTTTCCCACTGTGTGACGCACAAGTGATGCTTAGTAATATAACAGGTCACGGGGCTACCAAAAAAACCTCTTCAACTTAAGCAGGCATGTATCCAACATAGTGGACCTTGGGGTCAAGAATGTCAAAACTGACCTCAAAAGTTTACCTGTTTCTCCAAGTTTCATGATTTCACTTTTTAAAACACTGCAAAAAGATAATCAGCTTTACTGTTGACGAGGAAAAATATAAAGACAATCCTAAATTATCTATGCACCTAAAGATTAAGGAGTATTACCTTGTTGGCGGTACTCATTTTTATACTTCCCTCCAGACTGTTACTCCCTAAAAAAATCCTCTTTAAAATAGGGGTTGCAGTTGGTGCAACCACTCTGGAAAACAGTATGGAGGTTCCTCAAACAGTTGAAAATAGAACTACCACACGATCCAGCAATTGCACTACTGGGTATTTACCCCAAAGATACAAATGTAGGGATCCGAAGGGGTACGTGCACCCCGATGTTTATAGCAGCAATGTCCACAATAGCCAAACTGTGGAAAGAGCCAAGATGTCCATCGACAGATGAATGGATAAAGAAGAAGTGGTATATATACACAATGGAATATCATGCAGCCATCAAAAGGAATGAGATCTTGCCATTTGCAACGACACGGATGGAACTGGAGGGTGTCATGCTGAATGAAATAAGTCAATCAGAGAAAGACATGTATCCTATGACCTCACTGATACGAGGAATTCTTAATCTCAGGAAACAAACTGAGGGTTGCTGGAGTGGTGGGGGGTGGGAGGGATGGGGTGGCTGGGTGATAGACATTGGGGAGGGTATGTGCTATGGTGAGCGCTGTGAATTGTGCAGGACTGTTGAAACACAGATCTGTACCTCTGAACCAAATAATGTAATATATGTTAAGAAAAAAAAAAGAAGAAGAAGATAGCAGGAGGGGAAGAATGAAGGGGAGTAAGTCAGAGGGGGAGAAGAACCATGAGAGGATGGACTCTGAGAAACAAACTGAGGGTTCTAGAGGGGAGGGGGGTGGGGGGATGGGTTAGCCTGGTGATGGGTATTAAAGAGGGCACGTTCTGCGTGGAGCACTGGGTGTTATGCACAAACAATGAATCATGGAACACTACATCCAAAACTAATGAGGTCATGTATGGTGATTAACATAACAATAAAAAATAAAAAAAATAAAAAATAAAATAGGGGTTGCAAATTAGGAGTCCACAGGCTGAATTCAACTACATAAATCTTTCGTTTGGCCTGTACAGTTAAAAAAAAAAAACTTTAAAAATAACATTAAAAAATTGTACATTAAAAAAAATGAAGATTTTCATCTTCTCTTTCAGTTTTAAGATGTGCTGGCAATAGGCTTACAGTGGCACAGGGCGGCTACTAGCTATGAAAGTTGTTTGCTTTAAAAACGTTGACGTGTTCAATTCACCTACGCCCGCCATTCACACAACACCTGCATGTGCACCTGTATATGGCATCGACGAGCGGAAGTGCTGGTTTGGAAGAGACCTGGGCTGGCTACCCAGGTGGCCGTCAGGGACGGCCCGAGATAGCAACTTTTACACTGAAACCTGCAGGAAATGACTGAGTCACAACCTCCGTGCCTCAGTTTCCTCATCTGTAAAACGGCGCTGACAATGAGCGACTGTAGAAATGCTTGGCGAGGAATTACGCCAAGGGCTGGCCCTAAGTCGGGGCCCGGGGGCACGACTACCACCCTCGCTAAGGTCTCTTGCAGGCCTCTGCACCAGCAGACGCCGGGACCCTGAGGAACAGCCAGGGGCGCGGGGCGCGGCGCTGGGACGCACCCCCCCAGGCTTCGTCCTCCTCCCCTCCCGCCGCGGGCCCCCGCGCTCCGCCAAGGTCGGCCCCAGGACGCCGAGAGGCGTGGTTGGCCCCGGCGGACCCTGGAGGCAGCCATGGCCTCGGTGGTGGAATACAAGGGGCTCAAGGCTGGGTACCACTGCGGCTACTGCGACTCCGAGGAGGGCAAGGTGTCCTGCGGTGAGTGTCCCCGCCCGCGGGGCTGGCGCGGCCGCCTGGCGTCTGACCCCCGCGCCGCCAGCCGCGCCCCGCGCCAGCCCCTCGCCTGGGAGCTCACAGGCCCGGCTCCCCCAAGCTCCCACTCCCCTCTCCCAGACGTTTCTCCCCCGACTATTTCCCTTCACGCTCCTCTCTCCTCCTCACCCTCACCGAAGATGGCGGTCCGGGTCAGGGAAAGAACGGAAATAGCGGAAGGCTGCCCTCGGTCAAGATGGCGCGGGCGGCGTCAGCGCGCGGGACCCCTGGCGAACCCGGCCTGCGGGCGCCCGAGCAGCTTCGCGCGCGCCTCTGGGGACTCCCAGGCGGCGCGGAGCATTGTGGGGTGGCGGCGACGGCGGCGGGGCTGGGCTGGGTCGCGTTGCGTTTGGAGGGCAGGGGCCATGGCTTCCTGGGCTGCTCTTTCGCCCAGCATCGTGGAGTATTTCGAGGGCGAGGACTCCTACCGCTGCGGCTATTGCAAGAATGAGTCGGGCAGTCGCTCCAATGGTGAGCGGGCCGGCGGGCAGGGGAGGGCGTCCCGGCCTCGGGGGCTCCGTGGCCGGCGGGCGTCCTCGAGGGTCGCGGCGCCCTGGCCCGGGCCGAGCGGCTCGAGCGACGCGCGGCGGCTGGAGCCCCCGGCCAGGTCCTGTCCCGAGGCGGGTGTGCAGAACGCGACTCGCCGGTTTGGGCTGTGGCTGTCAGTTAAAAATGGACTTCAGCTCTGATTCATCAGGGAAGCATCTAGGTGCTTGTCCTTCACGCAGGTGCTCGGACGTGCTAGATAATGATTGTCTCGCCGTGGCCCAAAGTGTGGGAAACGTGTCCGTCTCCGTCTTCGTCTTCAGTCAGTAGGAGACGGTTAAATATGTGACAGCATGCCGTGCCAGGGAGCATTGTAGTGCGGTCAGTTCCACTGGGGCCGGCCTCTCAAGTGCTGATGCTGATGTGGGATCCTCCCCGATTTTAATTGTAGAATGCGGCGTGTCGGGTGGGCTATTTGTGTAGAAAGATCTGTGTGTGCGTATGTGGGCATGGGCATCTGGATAAAATGTCTGGAAGAGTATACAAGACACTGGTGACCGACCACAGGCGCTGCTGGCGAGGGAGCCTGTTTGTACTAATGTGTTTGAAAATTTTACCAGGTGCTTATATGCCTTGTCATTCCTCCACCCACCTCCAGAACAGCAACAAAGCCAGTTTACAGCACACCCCGCCCCCGTCATGGTTCAGGTTTATTTCGGAAGACTTGTTTTTTGTAAACAAAACATTATGTTTATTTCCTGCCGTGTCATGCATTGGCAGATATCAAATCTTTTATTTTAAGGAATAGTCCGGCATTGTGGGAAATGGGATAACCATGAATATACAAATTTACGTAGTTTCCATTTAAGAAAAATATAAATGCCCTACAGCAGGGGAATGATTTGGACGATTATGGTATGTCCATTTACTCATTAATTGAAATTGTTTATTAGATGCTTGTAGATAAGAGGGAGCAGAATGTGATATAATGCAGCCATTAGGAGTGATGGTTATGAAGATGAGCTAACAGAAAAATGTTTAGAGTGTAGGGTTGAACGGAGAAAAACAGGATGCAAATGACGCATGTGACATGATCACAGTTCTGGGAGGATAAAAACCCAGGAAAAACACACCAGCTGGTGACAGTGGATGCCTTAGGGTATTAGAGATACCTCCTTTTTTCAGAATTTTAGTATTGTGACTCCAGCCTGTGTGTTATAAGCACTTTCTACTAAAGGTGTCTAAAGTGAGTATTTTTATAGATCCTTAATTATTTCCCCAGTAATTTTATTTATTTATTTATTTATTTATTTTAAAGATTTTATTTATTTATCTGACAGAGAGATATAGCGAGAGAGGGAACACAAGCAGGGCGAGTGGGAGAGGGAGAAGCAGGCTTCCCGCAGAGCAGGGAGCCCGATGTGGGGCTCGATCCCATCATGACCGAGCCAAAGGAAGACGTTTAATGACTGAGCCACCCAGGCGCCCCTCCCCAGTAATTTTAGTAAGAGGAAATTGATTAATATAGATGTCCTTTGTTTAAAGTCCTGTGGAAGAAACCTGCTTTTACCCTTTTCACCTAAAGAGAGAACTGTAAATTTCTATTATATATATTTTAATTATGATCATCTTTACCATAGGGCACCCCACCTATTAGGTAGGTTTTATTATTCCTATTTTATAGGTGATGAATTTGAGGCTAATAAAATAACTCAGTGTTAATGAGCGCCTGCCAGGCTTCTGGACATTTGTATTTCTGAATACATCTTGTACTATCCAGCCTGCCTCTGTCTACATACCTCTGATGCAGTTTGCTTTTTACAAGAGAAAAAATTACTTTTCTTTTAACATTAATTCAAATATACCTTTTAATGTTTTCTCATAGTCTTCATTTTTTTCATGGTTGCATAATTATTCCATCATATGGATAATATCATAGTCCCTGTAATCACTTTTCTGTTCCTGGGCATTTCGATTTCCTTCAGTTTTTATACTTAAAAGGAATGTTGCTGTATGCTTTTGTTCTATTTTCAATATCCAAGACTATGCTAAAAACATAAAAATCAGGAAAATTTATATGCATCAGAAAACATTTGCTTTTCAATTCTTTTGAAGAGACTAGCTTATTAAATTATAGGGGATATTATTATGGCTTCAAAGTGTGATATAATCTGATCACAGTAAGGACCTTAAGTATATGATGCCATAGAGACTATTGGCTAATCCTGAATTAAATATAATCACTTAGATGTGTTTGATTTTTAAAATGAAGATAAATATCTTTTCCATCTGTGTTGTATGTTATGTCAAACAAGTATGAAGTATGTGCAAACTTTCACTTCTCCAGATTTTTTTTTTGCTTCAATATTCACATTAAAAGAATGCTTTGAATTAAAAAAAAAAAGTTCAACCTGCTATAATTAACATGGCACATGGCACTTATTTTTTCAGGCATGTGGGCACATTCAATGACAGTACAGGATTATCAGGATCTTATAGATCGAGGATGGCGAAGGTAAAGCTCTTTGATACAAAGACACTTCTCTTGTTACTGAGGTTCTTCTTATACTTGCAAAATATTGTTTGCCTATAAAATGTTTTCCTGTTTTTAGAAAGAGATTTAAGAAATTTTTTTATTGTATTTCTTTGTGTAGTGATTCTTTTCTCTCTCCTTTTAAAGATGTTTATTAGGAGAACTTCAAATACACGCAAACGTAGAGAATATGGTACAATGAATCTCATGTACCTACCGGCAGGCTAGGTGCACGGTATAATGAATCTCAGGTACCTACCGGCAGGCTAGGTGCACGGTACAGTGAATCTCAGGTACCTACCGGCAGGCTAGGTGCACGGTACAATGAAT